ACAACACTACCAACCCCACTTACATCATGTTAGGTACAACACTACCAACCCCACTTACATCATGTTAGGTACAACACTAGCAACCCCACTTACATCATGTTAGGTACAACACTACTGACCCCACTTACATCATGTTAGGTACAACACTACCGACTCCACTAACATCATGTTAGGTACAACACTACCAACCCCACTTACATCATGATAGGTACAACACTACCAACCCCACTTACATCATGTTAGGTACAACACTATCAACCCCACTTACATCATGATAGGTACAACACTACCAACCCCACTTACATCATGTTAGGTACAACACTATCAACCCCACTTACATCATGTTAGGTACAACACTACCAACCCCACTTACATCATGTTAGGTACAACAATATCAACCCCACTTACATCATGATAGGTACAACACTACCAACCCCACTTACATCATGTCATCATGTTAGGTACAACACTACCAACCCCACTTACATCATGTTAGGTACAACACTACCAACCCCACTTACATCATGTTAGGTACAACACTACCAACCCCACATACATCATGTTAGGTACAACACTACCAACCACACTTCCATCATGTTAGGTACAACACTACCAACCCCACTTACATCATGTTAGGTACAACACTACCAACCACACTTCCATCATGTTAGGTACAACACTACCAACCCCACTTACATCATGTTAGGTACAACACTAACTACCCCATTTACATCATGTTAGGTACAACACTATCAACCCCACTTACATCATGATAGGTACAACACTACCAACCCCACTTACATCATGTTAGGTACAACACTACCAACCCCACTTACATCATGTTAGGTACAACACTACCAACCTCACTTACATCATGTTAGGTACAACACTACCAACCCCACTTACATCATGTTAGGTACAACACTACCAACCCCACTTACATCATGTTAGGTACAACACTACCAACCCCACTTACATCATGTTAGGTACAACACTACCAACCCCACTTACATCATGTCATCATGTTAGGTACAACACTACCGACCCCACTTACATCATGTTAGGTACAACACTATCAACCCCACTTACATCATGTCATCATGTTAGGTACAACACTACCAACCCCACTTACATCATGTCATCATGTTAGGTACAACACTACCAACCCCACTTACATCATGTTAGGTACAACACTACCAACCCCACTTACATCATGTTAGGTACAACACTAGCAACCCAACTTACATCATGTTAGGTACAACACTACCAACCCCACTTACATCATGTTAGGTACAACACTAGCAACCCCACTTACATGATGTTAGGTACAACACTACCAACCCCACTTACATCATGTTAGGTACAACACTACCAACCCCACTTACATCATGTCATCATGTTAGGTACAACACTACCAACCCCACTTACATCATGTTAGGTACAACACTATCAACCCCACTTACATCATGTTAGGTACAACACTACCAACCCCACTTACATCATGTTAGGTACAACACTACCAACCCCACTTACATCATGTTAGGTACAACACTATCGACCACACTTACATCATGTTAGGTACAACACTATCAACCCCACTTACATCATGATAGGTACAACACTATCAACCCCACTTACATCATGATAGGTACAACACTATCAACCCCACTTACATCATGTTAGATACAACACTACCGACCCCACTTACATCATGTTAGGTACAACACTAGCGACCCCATTTACATCATGATAGGTACAACACTATCGACCCCACTTACATCATGTTAGGTACAACACTATCAACCCCACTTACATCATGTCATCATGTTAGGTACAACACTACCAACCCCACTAACATCATGTTAGGTGCAACACTATCAACCCCACTTACATTATGTTAGGTACAACACTACCAACCACACTTCCATCATGTTAGGTACAACACTACCAACCCCACTTACATCATGTTAGGTACAACACTATCAACCCCACTTACATTATGTTAGGTACAACACTACCAACCCCACTTCCATCATGTTAGGTACAACACTACCAACCCCACTTACATCATGTTAGGTACAACACTATCAACCCCATTTACATCATGTTAGGTACAACACTACCAACCCCACTTACATCATGTCATCATGTTAGGTACAACACTACCAACCCCACTTACATCATGTTAGGTACAACACTAGCAACCCCACTTACATCATGTTAGGTACAACACTACCAACCCCACTTACATCATGTTAGGTACAACACTATCAACCCCACTTACATCATGTTAGGTACAACACTACCAACCCCACTTACATCATGTTAGGTACAACACTACCAACCCCACTTACATCATGTCATCATGTTAGGTACAACACTACCAACCCCACTTACATCATGTTAGGTACAACACTATCAACCCCACTTACATCATGTTAGGTACAACACTATCAACCCCACTACATCATGTTAGGTACAACACTACCAACCCCACTTACATCATGTTAGGTACAACACTACCAACCCCACTTACATCATGTTAGGTACAACACTACCAACCCCACTTACATCATGTTAGGTACAACACTACCAACCCCACTTACATCATGTTAGGTACAACACTACCAACCCCACTTACATCATGTTAGGTACAACACTATCGACCCCACTTACATCATGTTAGGTACAACACTATCAACCCCACTTACATCATGATAGGTACAACACTATCAACCCCACTTACATCATGATAGGTACAACACTATCAACCCCACTTACATCATGTTAGGTACAACACTACCGACCCCACTTACATCATGTTAGGTACAACACTAGCGACCCCATTTACATCATGATAGGTACAACACTATCGACCCCACTTACATCATGTTAGATACAACACTATCGACCCCACTTACATCATGTTAGGTACAACACTACCGACCCCACTTACATCATGTTAGGTACAACACTACCGACCCCACTTACATCATGTTAGGTACAACACTACCAACCCCACTTACATCATGTTAGGTACAACACTATCAACCCCACTTACATCATGATAGGTACAACACTACCAACCCCACTTACATCATGTTAGGTACAACACTACCAACCCCATTTACATCATGTTAGGTACAACACTATCAACCCCACTTACATCATGTTAGGTACAACACTATCAACCCCACTTACATCATGTTAGGTACAACACTAGCAACCCCACTTACATCATGTTAGGTATCATACGTAACTAAAAACTCTAGAACCTACGGGACACCCAAGTCCGATATTATGTCAAGGAAATTTATAGTCTTGATACAGAAATGCCTACAATTTGTTAGTTTGTAATGCTGCTAAATAACTGTCATTATTATTATGGAAAAGAGTAATCAAAATGACAACACATTTGTTTTGTATTGTGTATCCAAATAGTAAACCGCGGTTATACGACTCCCTTATATATCGTGCGAAATATTTAAAAATTACAATGTTGGTCCTTTAGACCATCTACCCAGTTTATAAAAGGCTAAAGATTTTTTTATTAGGCCTGAACTCTTTTTGATCGTTATTCTGACATTGCAAATAAAAAGCTGTAAAACATTCAAAAACATTTTTTAAAAAGATAAATGGTTGTTATAGGCTACCTGACACTGCCCATATATAGCCTTTACCGACTTTCAAAATTTTAATGATGTAACTTGTGTGAAGGCTGGAGATGATAAGAACCTTGTTTTACCGTGAGCGCCTGATCAGCTTGTGAAGGCTGGAGATGATGAGATCCTATTTTGTCGCATGACTGTCAATAATCATGACCTGGAATAGACACTGGTAGGTTGGGTCAGGATTTACAGGGTGCTAAACCCTATTATATATACAACTATGATATACCGGGTATTTACTTCAGATGCATCTTGACTGAAACGCGGAACATGTTTCGTTAAGGAGGGAAACACTGTTGAACGTATATTTATATATGTGTGTAGTTCGTGATGTTCAAACTGCCTTTTCTTTTCTCTGTATGTATACTAGACTATATTGTTGTTTCTTTTTGTTATTTTCTTATTAATGTCTTATATTGTACTATGCTCCTTGTGAGCCCATTCATTGGAAATAAAACATCTTCTTCTTCTGTTTCATTACTGCAATTACTTTACAAACTCTACATTTAAATCATAAAGTTACCTTAAATGTATATGAATACATTACAGCATGTTGTGAATGTAACATTTTATAAAAAAAAAATATGAAATATCGTATTTATAGTGTAGCGACAGATTTACATATTGTAATTGAATACGAATGAATGAAATACTGCATTTTAAAAAAATGGCTCAAATGCAAATAATCTTCATAGTAAGCATACGTGACATAAAAACATCTATCCACTAGGGGGAAAAACCGTCACGTGAATAACCTTTATAGATTTACAAACGTTTTCTTATACAAACCAAACTTGGAACATTTTCGGATTTCATTTACGATATTCAAATAAATACTTATTTCTCTCTCTTTAAGAGGTTCGAAGAAATTAAGATTGAAGCTTTTAACCTTAAGCATGTGTTATTTTTGAACTGTTTTTTTTTTTTTTTTTTTTTTTTTTTTTTTTATACACGTTTACTTATCAGCAAATAAGTCAACAGTAAGATATTTTATTTACGTTTAAGTCATTTTGCATTGTTTTAAATTTCTGCTTTCCGAGAAGCGAAATTTCTTTGAATAAGGTTTTGTTCACTCGTCAAAAATCAACAATTGCTTATTTATTGTATTTATCTAATTAAAGTATTATTCAAGCTATATCCCGTCCCTTTTTTTGTTTAATCATTTGTGACATCAACAATAATGACTCATAATCAAATTTTTACTTGTCGTGATTAACACGACGGGTACAAAGATTGGAATATGAACTGCTTACCCTTCAAGAGTACCGTGATGATTTCACTCCTGTTTTCTTTTTTTTTCTTTTTTTTATGGGGGGGGGGGGGTCGGGGGTGGGGGGATGCTTATTGATCACTCTTGGTCTTTTGTTTTACTAACTGTTGTTTGCCTTTGTCTTTTTGGCCATGGAATTCTCAGTATTGTTTAATAAATAAAAAGTTATTGTCTTAAGTTATATCTTATCGTGTTTGTCCTTGGTATGTACAAAGGGATTGCGTGTTTATGGCAAATATTTGATAATTTCTGTTAAATTCGTTCGGAACTAGTCTAGACTAACTGCGGTAATAGCTTAATGTATTGTAAAGACACTTGTCTTTTGTTGAAGTTATATGTTGATCTCTAAATGTCTTTTATGTTTGTCTTTTAAAATTGGTGTCGCTTTGCCGAACATTTTCTATTATTCACAATGTGTATTATGTTCACTTTAAAATGTAATTTTTACTCCTCTAAAATAAGATTTTTCTCCTCTCCAAATTAATGTTTATATTTGATATTCTTCTTCCCTAGATCTGTATGGATCAGGTATATGGACATGTGGTATAGATTAGATTGTATATGATGTAACTATACAAGATTGGCACTCTTATCCTCAGTTATATAGACAATATATATAGAATTTGGACATATCAACATTAGAATATTTTCCTTTCTAGAATGTGGTTTTTCAATGTTTTAAATTTCTGCTTATTATTAGGTAAGTAATATTACATAAAGGTAGGACAAATTTCCCCTGAATTTATTTCACATAAGGGCCATTTTCAAAACATCTTTTAATTTTTACTTTATACAAAGTATCACATTTCCATGTGTGTAGTTTGAGGTTCTAACAATATTATGGCTTATTTTACACATCACCAAATTATAAACTCTTAAAGATAAAACTTTCCAGCTACCCACCCGCAATGCGAATCCTCACTCTGTCAAAAAGTCCAATTCGGGAATAGACCACAAAACGTCAATGTACAGATCAGGCGACTATTTTAGTATCCAAAGATCCATGACAGCGAAAATTTGTCGCTAGTGAGTAAGGACACAGACAAATATATAGGTTAACCAATTCGTGAAGGTGACTTATGTAGTGTCGATCTTTTCCTCATAACTCTGTTGGAGCCGTTTTTGTGCCAGGAGAACACCCCTGTTAATGAGTTTCGAATAGTGTAAACATGCACGAGAGAAAGGTATTAATTGAGGTATGTATACACCATTATACGATTGGACAGAGGATATGATACTGCTGAGAAATGGGTAGTTGACAATCGGAAAGTATAAGGACATGTTTAACCAAAACCGAATTTTTTTAAAAAGTATTTTAACCAAAACAAAAATTCTATTGAAACTAAAACTATTATATATATTTTTTTTTCGGATACAATTAATCATTATTAAGATACTATATCTTTAAAAAAAAATTCAGCAATATGTAGCGCTGAAAAACAATTTAAATTGGACGGAAACTTCAAAAAAATGTTAAAAATATTTAAAGTTTATTATCTAGACTGTTTGATATTAAAATTTCAGTTTGTTTAACAACTTTCTGATTTTGACACTGTGTGTGGAATAAACACACGTGAAATTGGCCATAAATCTTTTGCACTTAGAATTTACAAGCTGTCGCTATTCATTTTGGCTTCAGATTTACTCCAATTACATCTACCTATTATCCAGAAGTAAATTTGACATTTTCTTAACTTTAAATCTGTAAAATTTAGTTAGAAAATTAATATTTAACCAATATTTGAAAATATTTGAAAATATGCAAAAGCATTTTCTCTTGGTTTAATAGTCCTTTCCGCAATTTACCTTTAACGGTATTTACTTATGCCATGCGTAATTAGGCCAGGTAAGTAAGTACTGATATGTCATGAAAATATACATTCAAGATTCTGCGGTCAGTAGTCGGCTATTTACATTTTATAATTCTGTGAATTCGCAGTACGAAACTTTTTAGCAAATTAACTTTATATTCTGGACACTATAAAAATAAGGAGATGAGGTATGATTGCCAATGAATCCACCAGAGTTCAAATAAAGTGGAGGTAATTGTTGATAGACGTTTGTTAAAAAGTATATGCGTCAACAGTAAGTACAATGTATATGACATGCGTTGTTTCAACCTCTATTTACAGTTTATTTTATGTGACTTGTTGAGTATAATAGCGTGTATTCTGTCTTTATTATATAGTAGTGGTTAATGGTGAATGCGATCCTGGCTGGGAACATCGCTGGAATAAATGTTATTATTTCAGTACAGAATCCCGTACTTGGGAAGGTGCAGAGGTAATATTTATTTATATGAAAGTTTTGAATTAAAACATGAAAGGTTGGGGAGAGTTGGGCCCACATACATGCTGAGCTTCGCTACATTCTTCGTGGCGAACTGGGGAAGAACACGATAAAGAGACATAATCGATAGGGTCAAAATCAGTAAAAAAACGCAAGCATTTTATTTAGATTGATTGATATTTGCTTGCTAAACTGCAGCGGCAAATATTTCATGCATATTCCGGACGAGAACAAATTTGACAATTGATATGCACTTTGTAGGTTCTGAAAGGTAGGTCAACCGGGATGAAGGGCGAAAAGTTGTCAGTGTCACTGACAAAATAGGGAATGCTCCATGAAGTCCATGGGTGGCCATATATCCGGTGGACCCTTGAGGTGTCACAAGTTAGAATTACAGAAATGATGGCATTTAAATTTGAAACATTCTATATTTTTTGTTTGTTTGAACTTTTTTTAAAAGTATCCACATGTGATTCATATAACTTACAAATAGGTATTTATTTCTTAGATTTAGCAAGAAAATGTAATATACGTAATTCATGGCTATTAACTATTTCAAAGAACCAGGACGTGAATAAGAATTAAATATAATAAATCTAATTTAGTAACAGACCGGATTTCTAACGATTGATGATCAATTGTTTAAAACCGACGAACGTCCAATGGCAAATATTACATGCTTGTTTTAAACGAGGGAAAAAATAACAAGTAATGCAATAGGTAGGTTCTAGGTAGATCGGGAAGTTTTGAGTGTCATTGGCAAATGAGAATATGTTGGATGGAGGCAGAAGAAATTTCCTTGCAACAGGACAAATACGGTCCACTCAAATGTTTGTGTCTATAATTCTTTAATGTACAGAGAGGTTGGCACTCGCCCTACATGAGGCATATAGGATAAAACGTCCTCATTCCGATTGGACAAGTCTGCGTATTTATACATCCCGCACATCAAAACGGACGGGAGTAGTTAATGGTGACCAATTTCTAGACATTAGTCAGTCCTTGGGATTGTTGATTTGATTCAAAAGCTGTCATTCAAACGTTTCCCGCAAAGGTTCACATCTTGTTGCAGTTGACAGTGTAATTCATCGTTGCAGACTGGGTGCAGACAATATGGTTCACATCTTGTTGAAGTTGAGAGTGCAGAAGAGGATGAATACATACGTGCTCATTCACGAAACACCAGACGTTGTAAGTTTATTAAAACAAAATAATATAATTCTGAAAATTAAACGCTTTTAAAATGATTTCATTCAAACATAAATATACAACGGTAGAATTAGCCTTAAATTATATAACTTAGTTTCGTAACACACACATTGTGTGTTTGCGTTTAAAATAGAAATGCATTTTCTCTCAGCATGATTGATTGATAAGGTGCTCCATAATTCAGAAGTGTGCTATAGTTAAAAAGTGTTTCATACAAAATGTTTGCCCTCCCAAAATATATACTCTAACTCCATAAATGAAAACATTTTAGTGTTCATTCTAAAAACCTATACTCATTGGATTCGCTAAGTTTACAGCTCTATATAATAGTTCACTTCCATTCATATCAACAGCAAATTGGATTGGCTTACGAGATTCAGCAACTGAAGGTGATTGGAGATGGGCATACGGAGGAGCACGAGCAGAGTACAACAACTGGGCCACTAATGAACCTGATAATATATTTGATCAAGATTGTGCACTTCTCGACTCGTTGTATAGTTACCATTGGGTATCTGGATCCTGTTGGATCGCACACAACTTTATATGCGAAAAAGGGTAAATTAAAGCTAGAAGATAATATGATAAAACCATGAAATAAGACATTAAACAAAATAATAATGTTACGAATAATGGAATACGAACCTGGATCTCGTTATAAGCTTGTTGAAAAGCCCAATAAGGATTTGAATTTATATTATAGTTTGTACACAACGTTCAAAAGAATACGCACTATTTTGCATTTGTCATGTCGGGGTCTTTTATAACTTGCTATGTGGTATTGGTTTTGCTCATTGTTGTGAAGCCACACGGTGAACTTTACATAATTTATTTAGTCTCTGGTAGAAAGTTGTCTCATTGGCAATCATACCACATCTTCATATTTTTATTATGGTTTTGTGAATTCAAGCAAGCCGATAAGATAAATAAGAAGACTACAATAAAACAATCAGGAGTAATTCCATATCAAATTATAACAATATAGAAAAAGGAGATGTGGTATGAATCTCAACGAAACAACTCACCATCTGAGTTAAAATGAAGCGGTAGTAAGCAATTGTAGGCCACCTTATGTTCGTCGAATTATTCGAACAAAAATGAAACTACGACCAGAGACATATAAATTACTATATGAATATTGTGTTTATTTTAATTGTTAGAATCATTCTATTTCTTAGGTTTTTAATTCTATAATATTTCTACAATTTAGTTGGAAAAATATATATTGAATCACAGAAATGAAATAACATGAGCCATGCCTAAGAACAAAATAACGAATAATGAATGCGTTTATCTTATACATACTTTCCACAAATGTGTAGATCAAACTGTTTTAATTGTTACGGTTTATATAGTTATTTAATTTTAATAGCATATTTTTTTCCAATTGCAGTTATCCAAGTACAGACGCACCTGCTGTAGGATAATGGTTAACAGAGTGAATACAATTGTTAAGTCTGACACCCAAGGAAATACAATTTTCCATCATTATAATACCACTTTATATATATAATATTACCAATGCGTGCAAATATTTACGCTCTATATGCTCTTAAAATAACCAGATTTTTAAAATATTAAATTATATCTTGTAGTTGTAACTCACAAAAATAAACAAATTTGACATCATCTTATTTGTATAAAGAAATGATTAAAGCCATATCGTCAATAAACTCATCATAGCTACACCAAGCTTACAATTTGTACGCCAGATGGCGCCTTTCGTCTACAAAAAAACCTCATCAGTGACGCTCAAATCAAAGAAGGTAAAAAAAAAGCCAAGTACGAAATTGAAGAGCATTGAGGACCCAAAATCCCGAGAGGCACAAATCGGTACTAAGTGTGTCCATCTTTTCGCATTTGTTCCTTTGATTCTATAAATAACTGCTTATTGCTAAACTTAAGAAAGACTCAACGAACAACTGCTTGATAGATATTTCAACCAAAAAAAACGCAGATATTTGAATAACCTATTTTTCCGAAGTATCTAGTATATAGATAAAACTTTTCCATCTTAAACTTTAACGTAACAAAATTATTGTGTCCTTTTAAACATAAAATTTCTTATGACAATCTACCAAAATATGACGAGGACTCTGCCTTTTCTTATTGTTAATTGTCATTCCCTTGAATGGTGATATTCCGTTGGCTCCTTGTAAAATATATATTTCTAAGCTAATACATATTATCAGAAGTCCATTACTAGTAATGGACTTCTGATATTATGTATGTATTTGCATTGACGTCTCATATTTCAATTTACATAACAGTTTCATCACAAAAAACTTGTACAACCGGAATATAAAAATTATCCTGAAAGTTATCACAATTTTAGAGGGGATCTCGTTCTATCTGCAGGAATTAAACAAAAGTAATATTTCATACATAGCGTTTTATAGTTGGCCGTATTTTTCTTCACCTTTTGGTTTCAAGTAACAGAAATTGCATATGAACATTGAAAAATTGTCATATTTAACTCTAATACTTTTCAAGAAAAAGAAATTGAATAACATGCAAAAAAAGATTATAAATGTAAAGAATGCACGTGAATATATTGCTATGTATATTTAAATACCAGTGCTGAGTATGGATAAAACTACTTAAATTAAGATTTGTTCCGAACGGACGGATTTTTCTACATGTCCTACGATTAATTAGTACTACGATTGGATATCTTAACATAAGTGGTTTTATCAGCACAGTTTTTGTAAGAATCAGGCAATTAAGAAGAATTCCAAAACATGACAAAAAAAAAACCACTGACTTAATCATCCTATTTTGAAGTTACCTTCATCCTGAGTTAGGAATGGTAGGTCTTTCGTTTCTGTGTGTCTGGTAATTCAAGAAAGCTCTATATAAATTTGGTTAGAATGATAGCAAATTACGGAGTAAGCTCCCCTCAATTGGTATTTTTTAGTGCATTTCAACAAAATTTTATTTTGAAATACCAGAACAGGAAAAGGAAACGAATGTTATATTCGTGCACCATTATACATTTTGAACATAAGTTAATGTATACTTGAGTGGGGTTTTCTTGTCATGTGTCCACCACTACCTGATTCTTAGGCAGATTGGCACTTAATGATTTGACGTTAAATCGCTTTTACTCAAAAGCATATCCTTCTTTGATCTTGCTATCAGTTACTAAGTGCATTCATAGATACGTTAATGTTCAGTATATCGTTATTATAGAGTTAACTCCCTTTTTCTATAGTAATTCCTGTTGTACGTTCGCTATGTGCCTTATGTTATTCCACTGATCGAGATTTAAAGGAGGGGAAGGTTGGGCTTTAGCCTGCCACGTGTTCATGTACCTGTTCTTAGTCAGGAACATTGTCAGAGAATGTTTTCAGTTATATCTTTCCCTTTTTTGTCATTAAGATAATTCGGGTTTGACGACAGATCTTTGATAGTCACTATTCACAACTGTTCTATACTCGGGGCGATTAAGATTTTGTCATTCTATATTGAAAATTTTATATTGTTGAGGATCCTTCGTTAACCTCTAGGTGTATTTTTGTTGTTTGTGTCGTCAAAATGTTGTCTCTTTGACGTTATCCCAATATCAAAAATTCAGAAAAATTCATAATTTTATTACAAACAAATTTCTTATGAAGTATTATAAACGTCTCCTCGGAGACGGTATTAAGAGTTGAGCGATGCCTAGTGGCTCACGTACGTTGATTGGTTGACACAATTTGAAACCTAGTTCATGTCTTCAAATCTCGCAGGGTATCGGGTTTGAACTATTTATTTTAGTATATCTCAACAAATCTTTTAATTTACTCAATTAACACGATTCCGTTATTTGTAGATTAATAAAACATATCATAAAAAAAGAAATAAAATGTATCTTGGAATTCGTAACCTATTTACGAGTGCTATATGAATACATACATGTAGTAAACACGTATCATTCAGTACTGCAAAGAGACGGATATCTTTTTGGAAAAGCCAATACTTGTTTCACTAATATTATTTTAATCAATAGTGGTAGGTCACGCCTAGCACAATTTATGGTTATATTGCAACTATAATATTTGTAATGGAAACCATTATAAGAACTGCACGTCCTTCGCTATATTGAAATGCATTACACAAGATATAATTTCGGAATGTTCATGATGTTTGTATACATTCACTCGTAAGGTCAGCGGTCGATGGTTATTTTGAAATGTTAAACATGTTGTAATAACTATCGTAGCGTTTCAATTAAAGACCCAACACATTGATGAAATGATGCTATTTTTTTTTAAATACTTTTAAAAAATTATTATGATTTAAAAAAAAAATGATTTTGCCGGCTGTGCTTTACATTTTGATTAATGAACGTGAAATGTATATATTTCGAAGTATCCATATTTTTCCTTTTGTAAAACATTGTATCGCTATTAAATTGTTATTAGATTACAGTGTTGAATCGAAATGCGTCATGATATAAAAAATTCAGTTAAATATTTTGACTTTTCTTCCTTTTTGAGTATAATCTTATTCCTCTACATTTCATAACCTGACATGATTTATTAGTTTCATATAATTGACACAAATATCATAAGATCAAACATTTACATTCAGCTCGTAGATCTACTAATAAAATTCCGACGGCTTTCAGAACGAAATACTAGTTTTTCAATCAAGATAACTTATCGCCTGTTTTCGCGGTGTCTCAGTTGTTATGCAATCCGCGATTACTTGAAAACATACATATACCAACATTTCTGCTTGAATTTAACTCACAATTGTCGAAATGTTAAGAAAATAACTTAAATACAAGATGATTAAATTGTCTATGTAAAATGAAAACAGTGAATACAAGTCAATATACACAAACTCCAGATTATGTATCAATCAAACATCACACAACTAGTAGTCCGATAATTTTCTAAAGTCTGACGGACTTTTAAGGACTTGTCAAGGACGTGGGAAGTCAGGGCGCAGTCAATATAGAAAACAAGAAAATTGCCATTTGAGACTTTGTGCGGTATGTTAACTTTCTATCTCAAAATCGTAAATGATGCATTTTCTCGTAGATAAATCATATATCATTCGATTCCTTATTCAATTTCCTTCACGAATATGTAATGTTTATTCGCGTTTTGATAAATTGATTAAATAACAACGTAATTATAAATGGAAAAATGTAAAGGAAAGAATGTTGTGCATAACTTCATGACACACAATCCCTGCATACTAGACAAAATCAAAAGCAAATTTAAAGCACTTTCGTTGTTCTACTTCAACTCAATGTAACAGCGTGAGTATTATACTAAATGCTCACACCACACAGTGTGAGTGAGGCCTTTACAGCTGTCATCATAATGCTAGCAAGTTAAAGGTTTGGTTGGCTTGCTTGCTTTGCTTGTATTAATGTTTGCTCAAGCATTGTAATTAAGATTGACATCCGAAAACAATATATAAAGGCAGAGTTAGCACATTTCAAAATGCATTTATTATGTATACAGGTTTATTATACAATCATTGTTTCATATCTTATTATTAAATGAATAAAGATTCAGTATAATTGATGAAATTGAAACACTTATAAAGAAAATGCATATAAAAATAGCGAATCACATTTTGGAGTGACCGGTACGTTAGTACTTTGATCATGGAATGTGAAGTATTTCTTACATTACCCCTAAATTTAACTTTTATTAATATGCATCTTTAAAAGTTTTCCTGTTTAAGGAAAGAAATTATTTCCTTAGATAACATTTCGTCATAAACATATAAAGTCCGTTCAAATTATGACCACACCTACCCTGTTTCCTCGCGTTTCATCAGGAATAAAAAAAAATACCATCCTGTTTAACTCTAATGTTTATCTGCCTTTGTATTAATTCAAGGTACGTCATTGATATATTGCGTGTTAAATGACATATACTTTTATTGACACTAATCGTCCTGAAATTATTAAAAAGGTCATACCAGTATTCAATGATTTTCATGATTGCAATTTGGTCTTTTTGTAGGACGTTTTAAGGTACTGCATAGGTTTGAATCAGCAGTTTTCATAACTGCAAAAGACTATTTATATATTTTAAATAAAATATTTGAATTTAATATAACTAGCAATGAAGAGAAGATATTTATATATCTACCTACTGCATTGATTAAGAAGAAATAACTGGAAAGCATCTGAAAATTTCTTTTTTGTGTTGTACAATAGACCAAATAAATTTTGCAATATATATAGGCACAATGCTCATTCGTTTTTGTGTCGTACAATGGACTAGACAAACTTGGCAAAAGGTCTAATGCTTAGTCTTTGTCAGTTTTGGTATCGTACAATGGACCAAATGAACTTGGCAAAAGACCTTAGTTTCAGTCTTTTTCAGTTTCCGTGTATTTTGTGAAAAGTGTCAAATGTGTGTTGATTTTTTATCAATAGATTTGTAACAATGAAATGTATGATTATGACGTATTCGAACCGTGTTCTTCCTCATGTAGTTATTATTATTTATATGCATTATATCATTTGATTTAAAAAGACAAATAAGCGACATCAGAAAAAGATACTGTACATGTTAAGATCATGGAATATTAAATGGGCTATGTCACAGATTTTGGTAAAACGCTGTATACAACATTGGCATGTTGAACTCTCATTGAAAATTGA